AAAAAAAAACAGTTGCCATGATTCCCGAGGGCCTCCCCGCGTTGGTGACCATCGTGCTGGCCCTCGGCACCAAGAAGATGGCCGACCAGAAGGCCATCATCCGCCAGCTGCCCTGCGTGGAGACGCTCGGGAGCCTGACGGTCATCTGCTCAGACAAGACCGGCACGCTCACCAAGGTGCGATTTTGAAGGGGGGAGGGTGGGCAGGGGGGGTGCGGGGCCTTCGTCTCGCGGTCAGTGTGCGGCTGGGGGCGCAAGGGCCCTCAGTGGGGGCGCGCTCGGGCTGCGGGTCGTCTGGTGGGTCTGGCAACGCAGCCGCTCGGCTATGAACAATCCCTCCCCCTTCTGGATACCTTATCCCGCATTCACCTGCAACTTACGACCGAATGCTGCCGTCATTCTCAGAACGAGATGACCGTGGTGGCCGTCAAGACCGCGGGCGGCCTCTACAAGGTGTCCGGCGTCGGCTACGCACCCCAGGGCAGCTTCTCTCTCGAGTGAGCAGCTGCACGCCCGGGCTCGCGACGTTCGCCCCAACGGCCAGCAGGCGTGCCCTGGCAGGGGCCTGGCGTCCCCACAGCCAGCCGGGCCGGCGCTGGCAGGGCGCGCACGCCCGCAGCTCCCTGTCAGCCCTTGCACGCGTCCGCTCCCCTGATACCCCGGCCTCCGTGCAGCCCTCAACCTCTCGCACCCGCACCAGCGACAATCGGCAATTCCCTGTTGCTGCTTGCTGACAACGCATCGCCCCCCGCCCCCCACGCGCGCCCCGCCTCGCCCTCCCAGCGGCCGCGAGCTGTCCGCGGACGAGCTGGCCGGCGTGCGGGCCGTGCTGGAGGGCGGCGTCCTCTGCAACGACTCAGCGCTCAGCGAAGATGGCGGCGCCTTCACGCCCAACGGCGCGCCCACAGAGGTCTCCCTCATCACGGCCGCCCTCAAGGCGGGCATCAACCTGGACTCCCTCAAGGCAGCCAAGCCCAGGGTCGGGTCGGTGCCTTTTGAATCCGAGCACAAGTTCATGGCGACGGTGCATGAGTATGGCGGCCGCCGCGTGCTGCTGGTGAAGGGCGCGCCCGATCGGCTGCTGCCGATGTGCAGCGCGCAGCTGCGGGGCGACGGCGCCGCGGAAGTCGAGGGGGCGGGGCTCGAGGGGTCTGCCGCGACGGCGCCGCTGGAAGAGGGGATGTGGGTGAGGGCGCAGGAGGAGCTGAGCAGCCAGGGCCTGCGCGTGCTGGCGCTGTGCAGGTGCGTGCGTGTGGTTTGGGATCGGGATGGGGGTTTCGTCGACCCCGGGCTGCGTCCGGCCCCCTTTCGGCGGCCCAGAAGCGCCGGATTCGAGAGAGAGGAGGCCAGGCGGGCCGGCAGCATATGACTGTCTGCAGAATCTTGCATGGGAAGCGGCAAGTTGCAGGAGCCCAGCGCCTGTGTTACCACCTCGGCCCACAACAAACGCATCTTGTCCTCCCCTTTTTGCGTCGCGCCCGCCGACCCCGTACGCCCTCCGCCCCCTAATACCACCACCCCACGACCACCAGGGGTGACCTTTCGCCCGACGAGTCCCCCACCGGCCTGAGCCCCGCGGCGCTGCTGAAGCGGCCCCCCTCCCTTGTGATGGTCGCGATGATCGCGATCTTAGATCCCCCGAGGGATGAGGCCATCGCGGCGGTCAAGGTCGCACACGAGGCCGGCATCACTGTCAAGATGATCACAGGTGGGTGGGGTTGGACCGGGGCAGGGGCGTTTGCAATGGAAGGGGCGCGGATGGATGTGTGCGTGCTGATTTCGGCAGGGAGCGACCCGACTGTTGTTTGGGAAGGGGCGGCCTCGGTTGATCTGTGGGTGTTGGTCGACTTGAATGCACATGGGTTTCCCCCTAGCCCCACGCAAGCTGCTGTCATCATCCCACCAGGACGACCGGTCCTCACCCCACAAGCCCGTCAGCGGCGTCGTTGCTCCGACCCCCACAACCCCCCAAACACCGCACGCC